TATACTAGCAGTCAGGAGAACTTGAAAAATGACAATTTATACGAAGAACACAACTGAAAAAAAAAACGATATTTATAAGACTCATAAACAAATAACTGTTTGGCCAAGCTCGTTCATAGAAATTCCACAAAATATGTTATCATAAAAGCTCCCGGACTTTATCTTTAAAAAAATAACAGGCTGATAATGCTAAACAGTAGCCCTAGAGATATGGTCAGACGAAGTCAGTACCAGAATTTAAAAAAAAAAAGAAATTCGCAACTAAATTTCTGCAACATTTTTTTAACGCACTCCATTATAAACGAAAATTTCGATTTATTGCGCACAACAGCTTGCCACTGTTTTGAAAAATTAGCCATGTTTTCCAAACAAATTGTCGCCACTATACGTCTGCATATAACTTTAGCCGAAAATAATAAAAATAGCCCGCCTTACCTTTATTGTAGCACTTTCTTTAGCTTTTTGCTCAAACAGCTGGGCCAACTTATTGGCATCAATTTGCGGCAAATCAAGTTTGTGCCAAAATGTTCCTTTATTTTTCAGCGATGGTACTGGAGGTGGTTCCGCTTGCGCAGGTTTCCAGTGCAGTCTCAGTGTGCCGGTTTTTGATACAGGTGCTGTCGCTGAAAGAAACAAATTTTAGAGGAACAGGCGAGAAATAAGTCAGGAGAGACGGGAAGGAACTTATTTATTCTTTACTTCTCCCATTTTGTGGAAAAGCCGCCTCTGATCTTAGTAATTCCTTTTTCTATTGTTCTTACCTCCAGGAAAAGGTCCGACATCACCCTTTTGTTTATTTTGATTTTTTAAGATATTACGAAATTTTATTTTTATTTCTTTCTTCTCCTTTACTGAAGCGGATTACAGACAATATAGGTGCGAAAGGATCAGTTCTTTTTTCCACAAAATGATAAAATTCGAACAATTCTAAGAGAAATCCTTTTACAAAAGTATTATAAAAAATCCAAACTTTGTGAAGAAACAATACTCAGGCTGACGGCAGACTGATAAAAGCAGTCAGCCGCTGACAGTGCTTTCAGTAACCTCCTTTCCTAGGACTACATAATAGTAAAGTAACTACAGCTTCGCTTTTTGTGCTTATACAAAATTATCAACAAGCTTCACAAAGTACAGATAGAATGGTCAGAAGAGGTAATTACCAACTCAAATATGCGTTTTATGCGTAGATTTTTATCCTCGGGGATTCAGTATGCAAACATACACGTCGTCCCTGATGAAAGGCCTCAAGTAAATGGAGACCAAATTGACATGCTTTCTACCAGAGCCGGGAAATGCGTAGCAGATACATGCACCAGCAGGTACAAAACAACAAGATCGCGACAATAATGAATGAATAAAAAAAAAAAACGGATAAACCAAATTCTCAGGATCTTACTTGCTGCTGTGTCGGAACCAGGTTGTTTCGACGCGTTGACAGAAGCAAGAAGTGGCGGGGGCGGTGGCGCAACCTGCGCTCCAGGCGGAAGTGGAGGTGGTGCTGGAGGCATGCCTTCTGTTGGCGCTGAAAGTATATCAGGTTACTCTGTACATCATGTTGCTGCTCTAATGAATGGTTAAGCTCGGCTTCGAGAATATAAAATTTTTTAGATGACACTGCAAGAATGTTAGCGGTAAAACGCAAAGCACTTTACGCCTATTTGTTTCCTCAGTCGTTTCCGATAGTAATCTTCGCGTCTCATTCACCCAGAACAAAATCAAAGTTACTTTATGCCTATTTCGACTGAAACATGAAATTTTGCAGAATTCAACTACCGAGTGGTATTTTTCCATTAACAGAACCAGGAATGAGGCCTTTTTCCTGAGCGATTGCTGCTAGTCGAGCCATCACAAGTGGATCCTGCTCGAACTCGTCCTTGTGAAATTCCGAAAAATCCAAATCGTTGATAATCAATGGCTTCATTTTGAAACTTTCAGCAGCCTGCAGAAAACCCGTATTATTCGAAATAACCATCAAATTCTTGGCAACTACTAAAACTCGGCTCGGCTCGGTTGTGATAGGCGGTGGGGAGAGGGGAATGGTATGTGCGGGTTTCGAGCACAAAGACTCGAAGCAGGGGGGACGGGTCGGGTAAGTGCACTGAATAGCTACGTGATGTAGATCTTTTGGTAGTTGCCTAGGCCACCTAAGGGAGAGGGAAAAGGGTGATGGATTGAAAGGAAGAAAGCAAGGAAAAGTACCAGGACGAAAAGAATTAAAAGCAAGGAAAGCACCAGCAAGAAAGAAAGTAAAAGGAAGAAAAAAGTGCAAGCAATCAAGAAAATGAAAACAAGAAAGTCAGGCGGATAACCCGTCATATGTAAGGGACGTCCCCACTCGTAAAGTTGATGTTTAGGCAAGGAAAGCTGAAAGCCAACAAGGTGAAACTGATGCTTAGGTAAGACTGCGAGC